TATTGTATCCTATATTTGATGGTTTAATATCGAATTTACAGATTTCTATTATACTGTGACCCATAGTGAAATGTTATTTAGAATATTTCTTCCCTTAGCATCAATGAGCTAAAATGAGAAATAGTTTGTGAAATCCAACGAAATCGAAATTAACCTAATTAACCTCTTTGAGAGTAATTTGTTTGAAAAAGACCATAAAAACGGTTCTCTGCCTGATCCTGCTTTATACACTGTCATGCAATATTTGCTAACATTTTTACAACACACACACAAACACACATTTATTTTACTACTTTTTATTCCACGAATTTCTTTTTTTACTTCTAATTCCATATTTTGCGCTTTTTTTTCTTTTTCAAAAAATATATTTTCCAGTTAAAAATTAAAAGAAAAAAAATCCGATGAAATAACTTTGCATAATCTCTCCGAAACCCACACTTTCACATTAACCTACTTTGCATGCAAATCTCTGTATAATCTCGCCTCTGCTCTGCTCTTAATCTCTTTCCAGTTAAAAGTGATTTCTTAAAAACCACAAATCTTTTACTCTTCAGTGACGATGATGATGACGACGATGTTGACGATGATCGTGTTGTGTCGTGTCATAATAATCCAACGATTAAGTCTGGCTCAAAAATGGAGCAAAACAATGGCAAATGTTTTGTAAACAAAACACTTAACCCCAGTGATAATCTCTCTTAACTACTCTACTTTATGATGGTTTACTCAGTCAGTGTGTAAGTGAGTGAAGAGAGTGGGATTACAAAGAGGTGCAGCACACAATAGAAAACAAACCTCTTCTGCTACTCTTTAATACAACATTACAGCATAGCCCAGGAGTAGTGTTTGTAGGGGAACTTAATGACAGTTTAATGTGGCAAATGTATGGCAGGTTGTGGTGTGTCGCGTCACAAAATGCCATGATTAGAAAAAAGGTACAGGAGGACAAAAAGAGGAAAGACAATTGAGTGACAGGACTTCTGTTTTGGGCTATTGTTTAAGGTGTGTTTCTCTTTCTCTCTTCGACAATAGATCGACAATAGTCAACTTGAAAATTCATGGCATTTTCGCACCTTTTTTGTTGAAAGAAAAATGTGAAAAAATTGCAACAAATCTTTAAATTGTCACAAATCACATTTACCCCTACGCGATGAGGGTTTTGTTTGTTTGCTTTTTTCCCACTTTGCAACAATAGGCAACTGCATAGAGACACCTTTCAAATGTCGTGTACATTTGATCCTTTTTTCCTACCTGTCAAATGTCAATAATTTGTTTGTTTTTTCGTTGTCTCACATTTGAAGAACCCATTCAAATAAAATTTATATGACGGAAAAAATTGGTGAATGTGCATTTTATTCGAACAATTGCACAATTGAGTGATAGCGGGCAAAAACCCTTAACAATAATAATTTTAGGGTACCCTGTGTCAGGGTGTTTTTATCATTTGTGTGGATTTTTTTGCTAAATATTGAATTACATTTCAACGATCAGAACTCATTGGGGGATTTTATTCTCTTACAAAAAAAAAAATAAATAAATATTCAAATCAATAATATTTGCAATTAAATCAGAGATTTTGAAAATAAATCATAAGATTTGGAAATGAAATCAAGGATCAGACATTCAAAGGAAAGGACAAAAGTTGGACGGAGCCGAGTCAATAAGAGGTAGAATGTGCCAAATTGAATCTCAATTGAAAATCTGAAGTGTTTGTTGCAATATTTACCCGAAATCGGACGAAAATATATATGTAGGAGCTATATTTAATTCTCAATCGATTTCAACGAAATTTAACACATGTCATTCTAGACTCTCTTTAACACGCTGTGCCGAATTTCAACACAATGGGACAAATATTGTGATTTTGGTGCACGATTTACAGTAAATCGGACGAAAATATATATGAGAGCTATATTTAAATCTGAAGCGATTTCAATCAAATTTAACACAAGTCGTTCTAGACTCATTCAGAATGCTGTGAAAAATTTCGAATTTCGAATTCGGACAAACTTTGGGAGTTTGGTGTAACATTTATATAAAATCCGTCGTAACTATATATGAGAGCTATATCTAAATATGAAGCGATTTCATCAAACCTTAAAACACATCTTGTAGACTCAAAATTTCGTATGAATCGAACAAACTTTGTAAATTTGATGCACCATTTACTTAAAATCGGTCGTAACTATATATGGGAGCTATATCACAATCTAAATCGATTCTAGTTACCTCATGCCTCATTCTAGACTCAATCAGGTACACTGCGCAAAATTTCGTATGAATCGAACCAACTTTGTGTAAAATCGGACGTAACTCTATATAGGAGCTATATCTAATTCCGAACCGATTTTAACAAAACTTAACACACATCCTTTTAGACTCAATGCAATATGCTAAGCAAATTTTTGTCTCAATTGGAAAGAAATTAAGAGTTTGGTGCACCATTTATATAAAATCCGACGGAAATTTATATGGCAGCTATATCTAATTCCGAACCGATCTTAACAAAACATAACACAAATCATTCTAAACTCAATTCAGTACGCTATGCCAAATTTCGTGCAAATCGAGAGATATATAGAAACTTTGGTACACCATTTACCTTAAATCGAACGAAAATATATATGGGAGCTATATCTAAATCTGAACCGATTTTTACGAAACGTAGCACACATCATTTTAGATTCAATTCAGTATGCTGTCCAAATTTCGTGCAAATCGAAAGATTGGTGCCTCATTTACCTTAAATCGAACGAAAATATATATGGGAGCTATATCTCAATCTCAACCGATTTTCACGAAACTTAGCACCCCTCATTCTAGACTCAATTCAGCATACTGTGCCAAATTTCGTACAAATCAAGGCATATTTAGGGACTTTGGTACACCATTTACCTTAAATCGGACGAAAATATATATGGGAGCTATATCTAAAGCTGAATCGATTTTTACGAAACTTAGCACACATCATTCTGGACCTAATTCAGTACCCTATGCCAAATTTCGTTCAAATCGAACGATATATAGGGACTTTGGTACACCATTTACCTTAAATCGAACGAAAATATGTATGGGAGCTATATCTAAATCTGACCCGTTTTTCTCCATTCTGGACACAATTCAGTATACTATGCAAAATTTCGTGCAAATCGAAAGATATATAGGGACTTCGGTGCACCATTTACATTAAATCGAACGAAAATATGTATGAGAGCTATATCTAAATCTGAACCAATTTTCACGAAACTTACCACACATCATTCTAGGCTTAATTTAGTACGCTATGCCAAAGTTCGTGCAAATCGAAGCATATTTAGAGACTTTGCTGCCCCATTTACCTTAAATCGGACGAATCTATATACGGGAGCTATATCTAAATCTGAACTGATTTTCTTCAATTTCAATAGAGTTCGTCCTTGGACCAAACCTATGCCAAATTCCATCCTATTCGAATCATAAATGAGAGCTGTACTATGTTTACAATTCAACATCTACAGACGGACGGACGGACATGCATAAATCGACTCAGAAAGTGATTATATGCATATTCTCAAAAGGAACCATGGATCTAGTACACAGACATAATACCCTGTACCACAGTGTGGTGAAGGGTATAAAAAATCTACGCCTTGTGTGTATCCTTAAAAAATTATTTTTAAATAAAAAATCCAAACCTTGTGTGGATCCTCCGACTTCCAGATTTTTTTTTAGATTTGTTTAAAATTATTTATTTGTGGATAATCACACGCCAAGATTTTTAAAAATAGTGTGTCTTACTTCTTAACTCATTTCCTTGCATTACGATTTCTCTACCTCACTCTCTCTCTCTTTCTCTCTTTCACATGAAATCGTGCACCATCATCACACGCAATAAGACCAATACTAATTATTTTGAAATTTAATTCCTCTATCCCAAATCCTTTATAAGAACAACTACTGACTGTGTCGCATTTTGTTCCCTGGTTAATAACCGAATAAACGCAACAACAACAAGAACAGCAAAAATAAAATCCAGTAGCTGCTCATCATCATGATTATAGACAGTGCTCTCCCTCTCTCTCTAATTAATCCATGTGACAAATTTTTACGTTAATCTCTTCTGCTGCTACCTTTTGTCTCTCACATTCGATTGAGTAATGGATTGTCTGCTCCCAATGATATTGTTGTTGTAACAATTCGTTGTGCTCTTTATAAATGACATCGAAATCAAACAGTGTTGGGCAAAATGAAATTGAGAGCAAGTGTGTACGAGCGTAACTGAGAATTCACCATTAAGAACGACAGACGTAAAGAGAGAGAAAGAGAAAATGTTTTTACCCATCGACCCTTAGTTACGGTAGCGTATATGGGTAAGCATGCCTGAAATCAAATCAAACAAAACATAACAAGAACAACAACAAAAACAACAACTAAAAGTGGAACATTTGTTAGAATAGAACAAATCTTTTTTTGTCGTATTTATCTCTAATTGAAATATGACGCTTTTATATGGGAACAGTGGAATGGGAGAGAGATAGAGAGGTTAGGTGAGATGAGAGACATCAGACAACGAACCAAACAGAGCAGAAATTGTTAAGGAAAAATATAATGATGGATGTTTGAGATACGAATTTGGATGGATGATTGGATGGGTGTTGTTGTTGTTGTTGTTTGTGGTGTTGTTCTTGTTGTTGTAGGTCTCATATTGCAAACTGTCAGCATTAAGTTCAATTGCCACTAACTGCAAGAGCAAAGGGGATTTTTTGAGATTTTAAATCAATTCAAGGGAAAGATTTCAATCAAAGGGGAACAAATTTAAGAATTTTTTTGGAGAAAAACGTCTAAAAGAGGAAATGGAAATTAATCAATTTCCGTGAATATTTCCAGGAGAAGAGGTAAAAAAATATTGGCGTAGATTTTTTAAGTATTATTTAGATTTTTTATAAATATTTTTTTTAATATAAAAAAATAATAATAAAATAAAAAATAATTTAAATAATAAAATATATAAACAACAACATTTAAACATTCTTTGTAATATTTTTCTTATTATAGGTGACATGCACCAAACGTAAACTTCGCGCCACTGTGCCGAGAGGTTTCATAAAATTATTCAAAGTATCCGAAATGGGTTCCAAAATATCTCTCCATGATGATAAAAAATTAAATAAAAATATCATAGGGGGTTGGAGGAACCCATTAAAGGTCACGGTTAGCAGAGGTTTCAAAAAATAATCCGCTGTCATGTGGAGTAGGCCCACCATCAGGGTATTCACCAGGGAATATAAAACGAAGCGATAACATTGTAGGATAAAGGCAACAACAAAAGCAACTCCAATATGAAGGCTACCAAAAAATTCCGCCCAAAATTTTGTGGCCAAATCGTTGGTACGTTCGGCCAAGGCCAAGGAGTGAATGTGCGGTGGACAATCATGGGTTTGTAAATATTCTGCATTGCCATGGTCAAAGGGATAGATGCCAATGCGAACTTCTTTTTCTGGTTGGAAATTCAGATTGGATAAATTGTCGAATATTTTGTCGGTGGGCACTGAAGGCTGTTGTGGTTGCTGTTTGGCTTTCATTTGTCCAAAGGAGTGGCGTAAATTTTCGAAAATCGTGGAAGATTTTTGGTTTTTCTTCTCTTTTGTTTCAAAAAGTTTCCTCTTGGTCTTCTCCGATTTTGTTTTCTTCTTCTTCGCCTTTTGTTTATATAATTGAAATTCGATTTTTGTCGGAGTCATTGTCGATTTTTTATTCTTCTTGCCGGATTTCAAATCCGTTCTCATTTCATAGAGAATTTTCGATTGATCTGTTAGTGTAGAATCGGATGCGGTTCCATTGGCTGCCGATTCATTTGAAAATTTATTATATTTTGTTGTCGTATTTCTGGTTGGCTGATAAATCGATTCTCGTTGCTCATTTTCTGTTGAGGAGCTATAATTTAATAGCAGATCCTGCAGAGGTGAATGCAGCTTTGCGGTAACACCAACATGTTGGACATCGATGAGATTTGTTTGGGATGAGGATTTGCCTTCAGCAGCTGCTGTGGGAGGTGTGTCGGACATTTTGGGAAAATTTTAAATATTTTTTTGAAAATTTTTGAAAATTAATTGACAAAAATTTAATAGGGTGGGTCGTTAGAAGCCTTGTTTAGGACCCCAAAAAACAATTTTAAAACATCCATGCCTTGTGTAGGACCCTAATTTTTTTTTTTAATCCACAACTTGTGTAGAGGCTTTTGTAGGACCCCAAAAATATTTTTTAAAGAACCCACGCCTTTTGTAGGACCCCAAAAATAATTTTTAAAGAATCCACACCTTGTGTAGAGTCTTTTGTAGGGCCCCAAAAATAATTTTTAAAGAATCCACGCCTTGTGTAGGACCCTAAAAACATTTTTAAAAAATCCACACCTTGTGTAGGGCCTTTTGTAGGACCCCAAAAATAATTTTAAAAAAATCCACGCCTTCAACAGAGTCCCAAAAATAATTTTTAAAAAGTCCCAAAAATAATTTTTAAAAAATCCACGCCTTCAACAGAGTCCCAAAAATAATTTTTAAAAAGTCCCAAAAATAATTTTTAAAAAATCCACGCCTTCAACAGAGTTCCAAAAATAATTTTTAAAAAGTCCCAAAAATAATTTTTAAAAAATCCACGCCTTCAACAGAGTCCCAAAAATAATTTTTAAAAAGTCCCAAAAATAATTTTTAAAAAATCCACGCCTTCAACAGAGTCCCAAAAATAATTTTTAAAAAATCCACGCCTTCAACAGAGTCCCAAAAATAATTTTTAAAAAATCCACGCCTTCAACAGAGTCCCAAAAATAATTTTTAAAAAATCCACGCCTTCAACAGAGTCCCAAAAATAATTTTTAAAAAATCCACGCCTTCAGCAGAGTCCCAAAAATAATTTTTAAAAAATCCACGCCTTCAGCAGAGTCCCAAAAATATTTTTTAAAAAATCCACGCCTTCAACGCAGTCCCAAAAATAATTTTTAAAAAATCCACGCCTTCAACAGAGTCCCAAAAATAATTTTTAAAAAATCCACGCCTTCAAGAGAGTCCCAAAAATAATTTTTAAAAAATCCACGCCTCCAACAGAGTCCCAAAAATAATTTTTAAAAAATCCACGCCTTGTGTAGAACCCCAAAAATAATTTTTAAAAAATCCACGCCTTGTGTAGAACCCCAAAAATAATTTTTAAAAAATCCACGCCTTGTGTAGAACCCCAAAAATAATTTTTAAAAAATCCACGCCTTGTGTAGAACCCCAAAAATAATTTTTAAAAAGTCCACGCCTTGTGTAGAACCCCAAAAATAATTTTTAAAAAACCCACGCCTTGTGTAGAACCCCAAAAATAATTTTTAAAAAATCCACGCCTTTTGTAGGAGCCCAAAAATAATTTTTAAAAAATCCACGCCTTCAACAGAGTCCCAAAATAATTTTTAAAAAATCCACGCCTTCAACAGAGTCCCAAAAATCATTTTTAAAAAATCCACGCCTTTTGTAGGACCCCAAAAATAAGTTTTAAAAAGCCCACGCCTTGTGTAAGACCCCAAAAATATTTTTTAAAAAAACCAACGCCTTGTGCAGAACCCCAAAAATAATTTTTAAAAAATTCAGGCCTTATACAGAACCCGAAAACCAATTAAAAATATTTCACGCCCTGTTTCATTTTAAATCACATATTTTTTAACCGTCTAAATGCCTTACGTTACGTCAACCACTAACTACGCACCTTTTCTCTCTAGAAGTCTCACTCATTCACATTTCAAACGATTGGCAACACTAATTTGACATTCATGTTATCAGCAGTGAAAGCAAAGTGTTTTTTAAATCATGCATTTTTTAACCGCCTAAATGTTTTACGTTACGTCAACCACTAACTAGGCACTTTATCTCTCATTCACATTTCTAATGGTTGGCAACACTAATTTGCCATTCATGTTATCAGCAGTGACAGCAAAGTGTCAAAATCATTTGTTAAGTTCTCAGTAAGTGCAAATAAGAAGAATTTATTAAAAGAATATAATTTTTTAACTGTGAAAGCGCACAATAACATTTAATTTTTTGCAAAATATATAAATTTTTAATTAATATTAAATATTATATTGCATGTTGTTGCTTTTTTGGCTAATTACAAAGAGAGACTGAATAACAAAGTTCCATAACAAAAGAAGACTGCAACATTACGTTTCAATTGTGTGAAAGTGTTCCATTGCGGGTCAAGGTTAAAGGTTGTGCCCCACGTACTAAAAGTTGTGATAATAACAAAAAGAACAATTAAAAATATATTGGAAAACCTCACAGCCTTTAAATGCACACCCTTTGGCAACGTTTCCAAAATAGTGTCCTACAAAACGTAACTGCAACATATTTTCGAGGTTTGTTTTCAACATCATCATCATCGGCGGTGGCCATCAATTGGGCCCGAAGCAGTTTACCGGCTCCATGGGGCCTATTAAATTCTGAACGTTGCATGCCAATGAAATTTGTGATACAACATAATAATAATAATTGGGTAAACAGGTGGTGGTGGTGTCGGCGGTCGTGGTCCGCTTGCCGGTTGTTGTGTTGTGGCGCAGAGGCGTTTAACCGCCCAAGTGTTTATGTATCGTCTTCGTCGTCGTATCGATATTATTGTAAATAATGTTTTGTGTGTTTTTTGTTTATCTTTTCTTTTTTTGTATTCTGTAGTTTTGTTTGCTTATATTCCGCTTAAGGCTGTCTAAGTGTTTAAATTATATTTTATTGTTTATATTGCAGTTTTCATTATTTGCATGGTTTGTGTTTTTGTTTTGTATGTTTATTTGTTGCTGCTAATGAACTGGACAGTGTCAGCACAGTGGGACAGGTGTTTTTATACCTTCCATCATGAGGAGGAGTGTGTATTAAATTTAGCAGTCCGTTCGCAAGACCTCGAAGTATTCGTTGAAGCCCTTGTTATTTTTTATCAGAATAAAATTATAATTCGAATTAGTCATGCTCGCAGTGTGTATTAAATTTGTCATTCCGCTGGCAAGACCTCGATATATTCGTCAGAGCCCTTGTTCGGTATATAGGTATATATATATATATATATATATATATATATATATTTCATCAGAATAAAATTCTATATCGAATTAGTTATCCTCGCCTGTTCATCCACCCCATCTGTCTGTTGAAATCACGCTAGACCTTTGCAATATTGAAGATGGAGCTTTGAAAATTTGCACAGACATTGTTTATATTTCTAGGATGCTTGGTATTGGAAATGGCGTACATCGGATAATGATCCTACCCAAATTTTGGTTTATTTTTGGGAGCTTGGACACGTGCTTCAGCCAAATGTGGCGTAATTTGGTATTTTGAGTTGTCAGTGGGTAGAAAATCTTTCCACTAAAAATTATCAATATTAACGCAAGTTTCAGGGTAGCCCCCATGTAACGTACCTCCCAATATTAGGTATTTTGGGGTTTTTTGGGCACGTTATTCAACCAACTCAGCTTTAATTTGGTATAATAGGTTCTCACTAGGTAGAACAACAGCCTACAAAAAATGATCAATATTGGTCCACTTTTTATGGTATCCCCCATATAACCCCAAAACTCAATTTTCGTTTTTTGAAGTTTTTGAGCTACATTTTCATCCAAATTGGCTATAATTTGGTATTTTGGGTACTCATTTGGTAGTAAATCTTCTTACAAAAAATTATCAATATCGGTCAACTTTTTAGGATAGCGTCCACATAACGTTACACACCAAAATTTGACATTTTAAGGCTTTTGGGCACATTTTTTCAACCAAATTGTCTATAATTTAGTATTTTGAATTCTAATTGTGTAGCAAACCTTCCTACCAAAAATTATCAATATTGGTCCACTTTTCAGGGTAACCCCCATATAACGGTACACCCAAAAATTCGACATTTTGAGGCTTTTGGGCGCGTTTTTCGACCAAATTGGCTATAATTTGGCATTTTATCATCACATTGATTATAAAATCTCCTTACCAAAAATTATAAATATAGGTCCACTTATTGTAGTAACCCAATATTCGGTATTTTGAAGTTTTGCAGCATCTTTTTCAACCAAATGGTCTGTAATTCGGTATTTTGTGATCTCATTTGCTAGTAAATCTTTCTACTAAAAATATAATCATTGGTCCATTTGTTTAGGGTAGACGCCATATAACGCCACATCTCATATTTCGGTATTTTGCGAAGTTTGGCTTCAAACAAAATTGACAGTAATTTTCGTAATTTGTATTCTCGTTAGGTGGAACTCCTAATAAAAATTATCAATATTGGCCTAAGTTTCGGTGTAGCCGTCATATAACGATATTCGTTATTATAAAGCTTTTTCCCACATTTGTAAAACCAATCGGCTGAAATTTGATATTTTCGTTTCTCATTAGATAGCAAATCTTCCTACCAACAATTATCAATACCAGTTTATGTTTTGGTATAACGCGCATTTCGGTATATTGAATGCTCATTATAATATAAGGGCTTCTTGAAGGCTGGTATACATATAAACAGAATATGATCAATATAAGTCATGTTGTTCATATAACCCCTTATATGGGTCTCTATCGATTTTAAGTACCGACTATTATTTTTCTTTGCAATTTATTTAGATTTTTTTTATAACAAATTCTGTAGTTATTGCGGACAATTTCCATATGATTATAATCAGGATAAGCAAAGATTAGTTTTTGTGTGTTTGATAAGAAAAGTTGCAATGTTATCTTTTATACGTGGCTATATCTTATCTTGCAGATATTCAAAGGGGGGAGATAATAGGCAGTTTTGTTTATAGGTTATTGTTACGCCTACTCTTATTTTGGTCTATCACATGTAATAAAATTGAAAAAGTAATTGAATCTATCTCGTCAACAGAATATGCAGATATCTATTAAGATCTAAAAAAGATATTTATATAAATTCCTTATGGTTCTTGATGGTATAAAGAAACATTTAAACATTACATACATTCTCACATTACATACAGAAAATCTGCTGACCATAGACATCAAGAAGCCCTACCATGGAAAAAATAACCATATATAATTTCCAATATGCCAAAACGAAAATGAAATCCTTTGCTTTTCTATCACTACTATTCATAACCAAGGTTTTACTTATTCGAAAAAACCCCTACAGAAGAAATAACTTCTTTTTGATCCAAAATAATTTTTAGAATATCTCCATTCTTTCCATTGAAGTCCTATCTACAATGGTCTTCTTTATTATACCCGACTCAATGGATTGTACCGTAGCTTTTTCCCACTTCTCTTTTAAGTCCATGTCATCCTCCGTTTGAAAACCTGCAAAAAATCAACTATTTATCTATTTTTATTTAAAAATTAAATAAAGCGTACATTACCAGTGTTGTTGTACTAGAACATAAATGTAATTAAAAATGTCTTTTCACGACTAGTATAACTTATGGAATCGTTCCTTTCCATTACAAACTAAATGACCTTCCTTTTGACATTCATTATCTCTTCGATACACACTTGCTTATTAATAATGTGGATTTTTTACATTTTTTCTTATGAATTTGTTTAATTTACAATTGTTTCAATAAAAAATAAATGTTTTCAATCAATTCAATCGGACTAGGTGCCCGAAGACAGCTGTTTTGTTTTCTGTTCTCCTTTCAATTGATTTGTTTATTTCTGTTCTCTCTCTCTTTCACTCTCACTATAATTGGATCGATCATTAAATTAATAATGCGACACTCATTCCAATATATTTACAATCATTAATTAATGACTTATTAATTTTTAATTTATTTTTATTTGTATTATTATTTAAATCATTTATATATTAATAAAAACAAGCTCTTCAACCTCTTCTAATAGTGAAGGAAGGCGAACGGGAGAGAGAGAGCCAGTTGATTTGATTGTCCATGGCTGTTTGTTTGGCATGACTGCGTTGCCAACCACACATTTGTTGCTTTGATGGTTGATTGTCTTTGCTACTTACCTGCATACGTGACTAGAATGACATGTAGATGGCGCTACAGCACCAAATGCTTTGTTTATTTTTATGCATGTGCAAAAATTACTTATTTCCATAGAATAAGAAAAAATATATAACAAATTATTAACTATTTAAAAACTTTTATATATTTACAGCTCAAAAGTTACGCAAAGTCGGATTTAGAGGCATGCATACGTGAGTATTTTTATTGTTACATTAAATATATTCAATATAATTTAAAACTTCAATTCAGCCTGGCTGAATGAGGATTTCCATAGGAAATTTTCAATTCAGAGTGGCTGAATTAGGATTTCTATAGGAAATTTTCTATTCAGCCTGGCTGAATGAGGATTTCAATAGGAAATTTTCAATTCAGCCTGGCTGAATGAGGATTTCCATAGGAAATTTTCAATTCAGCCTGGCTGAATGAGGATTTCCATAGGAAATTTTCAATTCAGCCTGGCTGAATGAGGATTTAAATAGGAAATGTTTCAATTCAGCCTGGCTGAATGAGGATTTCCAAAGGAAATTTTCAATTCAGCCTGACTGAATGAGGATTTCCAAAGGAAATTTTCAATTCAGCTTGGCTGAATGAGGATTTCCAAAGGAAATTTTCAATTCAGCCTGGCTGAATGAGGATTTCTATAGGAAATCTTCAATTCAGCCTGGCTGAATGAGGATTTCCACAGGAAATCTTTAATTTAACCCAGCTGAATTAGGATTTCTATAGGAAATCTTCAATTCAGCCTGGCTGAATTAGGATTTCTATAGGAAATCTTCAATTCAGCCTGGCTGAATTAGGATTTCTATAGGAAATCTTCAATTCAGCCTGGCTGAATTAGGATTTCTATAGGAAATCTTCAATTCAGCCTGGCTGAATTAGGATTTCTATAGGAAATCTTCAATTCAGCCTAGCTGAATTAGGATTTCTATAGGAAATCTTCAATTCAGCCTAGCTGAATTAGGATTTCTATAAGAAAACTTCAATTCAGCCTGCCTGAATTAGGATTACTATAGGAAATCTTCAATTCAGCCTGGCTGAATTAGGATTTTATTACGTATTTTTAATAATTTGTTGTATTTTATTTTGTAGATCCGTGGAAGATTTAAAAATGGACCGCATGAAGGTCAAAATATTGCCTGCCCTACAGGATAATTACATGTATTTGGTAAGATCTGGAAAATATTTCTACGGAATTTGCAACTAAATATTTTTTCCCCTGCAGATTGTCTGCGATGCCACTAAAGAGGCGGCCATTGTGGATCCAGTCGATCCCGAATGTGTCTTGGATGCTGTCAAACAGGAACAGGTGAATTTAACTAAAATTCTTACCACTCATCATCATTGGGATCATGCCGGCGGTAATGAGAAACTTTTGAAAATGTGCCAAAAATCTCTACAAGTCTATGGAGGTGATGAACGTATTGGTGGCCTCAATTGCAAAGTCAATCAGGACGATTGTATACAAATTGGTGACTTGAAAGTGACATGCCTATTCACACCATGCCACACCACCGGACACATTTGCTATTATGTTGAGGCACCCAATGGCGAACGTTGTGTCTTCACCGGTGATACCCTATTTCAGGGTGGCTGCGGTCGTTTCTTTGAGGGTACTCCCGAACAAATGTATTCGGCCTTAATTGAAAAATTATCTGCCCTGCCGGATGACACGAAGGTATTCTGTGGTCATGAATATACGTTGCAAAATATGTCCTATGCTAGGCATGTGGAACCTTTGAATGAGGATATACAGAAGCGTATTGAATGGGCAAAATTGCGTAGAGCTACCAAATCGCCCACCGTGCCCTCAACAATTGGCGAGGAAAAGTTATGGAATCCATTTATGCGTGTCCATGAGGCCAGTGTTCAAAAACATGCCCATCAATCGGAAGCCATTGCCACAATGGGTAGCTTGCGCAAGGAAAAGGATAATTTTAAGGGTTAGTTTTAAGATGACAAGTTTTTTTCTCGGAGAATTGTTACTTGGGTTTTGGGGCTTCTTGTTCTTGTTTTTGTTTAAATGTCTCAGCCAATGTCGTTTCGTTAAATTTTGTTTTCAATTTTTTTCTCATAATTTAATCCTTAAAAATAGTTTCTAATTTCAGCTCATTTATAAAAACTATTTAAAATATTTTTTAATATCCTTAAAAATTAAGCGCACAATTGGAATTTTTAAAATTCTTTGAAAGACTTTGTAAATGATAAATAATTTATTTAGAATTTCCGTTTTTCCAAATTTTGAAAGTCTGTGAATATTTTTTGAAAAAATAAATATGGATTACCAACTACAATTATAGCTAATCAAAAATACAATGCTGATGTTCTTGCTGCTGATCTACACAAAAATTAATTAATTTTTGTTCTCAATAAATAAAATTGGATCCAGTGAACTAAAAGGAAATCATAACTACATTCCTGGATTTCCATAGGAAATCCACAGCGTGGCTGAATGAGGATTTCCATAGGAAATTTTCAATTCAGCCTGGCTAATTTATGATTTCTAAAGGAAATTTTCAATTCAGCCTGGCTGAATTAGGATTTCTAAAGGAAATCTTCAATTCAGCCTGGCTGAATTAGGATTTCTAAAGGAAATCTTCAATTCAGCCTGGCTGAATTAGGATTTCTAAAGGAAATCTTCAATTCAGCCTGGCTGAATTAGGATTTCTAAAGGAAATCTTCAATTCAGCCTGGCTGAATTAGGATTTCTAAAGGAAATCTTCAATTCAGCCTGGCTGAATTAGGATTTCTAAAGGAAATATTCAATTCAGCCTGGCTGAATTAGGATTTCTATAGGAAATCTTCAATTCAGCCTGGCTGAATTAGGATTTCTATAGGAAATCTTCAATTCAGCCTGGCTGAATTAGGATTTCTATAGGAAATCTTCAATTCAGCCTGGCTGAATTAGGATTTCTATAGGAAATCTTCAATTCAGCCTGGCTGAATTAGGATTTCTATAGGAAATCTTCAATTCAGGAAATCTTCAATTCAGCCTGGCTGAATTAGGATTTCTATAGGAAATCTTCAATTCAGCCTGGCTGAATTAGGATTTCTATAGGAAATCTTCAATTCAGCCTGGCTGAATTAGGATTTCTATAGGAAATCTTCAATTCAGCCTGGCTGAATTAGGATTTCTATAGGAAATCTTCAATTCATCCTGGCTGAATTAGGATTTCTATAGGAAATCTTCAATTCAGCCTGGCAGAATTAGGATTTCTATAGGAAATCTTCAATTCAGCCTGGCTGAATTAGGATTTCTATAGGAAATCTTCAATTCAGCCTGGCTGAATTAGGATTTCTATAGGAAATCTTCAATTCAGCCTGGCTGAATTAGGATTTCTATAGGAAATCTTCAATTCAGCCTGGCTGAATTAGGATTTCTATAGGAAATCTTCAATTCAGCCTGGCTGAATTAGGATTTCTATAGGAAATCTTCAATTCAGCCTGGCTGAATTAGGATTTCTATAGGAAATCTTCAATTCAGCCTGGCTGAATTAGGATTTCTATAGGAAATCTTCAATTCAGCCTGGCTGAATTAGGATTTCTATAAAATATTCAATTCAGCCTGGCTGAATTAGGATTTCTATAAAATCTTCAATTCAGCCTGGCTGAATTAGGATTTCTATAGGAAATCTTCAATTCAGCCTGGCTGAATTAGGATTTCTATAGGAAATCTTCAATTCAGCTTGGTTGAATGTGGATTTCTATAGGAAATTTTCAATTCAGCCCGCGCATGACATCATTATACCCTCGATAATGAGCTGCAAAGCTGCAAAAAAACTTCTCTGATTCAAATGAATCATTTTTTTAATTTTTATTTGCTCAACCAACTTCTAATCTCTCCCTAATCAGTACCTATAAGAATTTTTGTTGTTGTTTTATTTTTTATATGAGACATTTTTATTGTTATTATTTTACAAACAAAAAAACTGCAATAAAAATTCCTAGATGTCAAGTTTTTCTTATCTAAACACTTGAAGACATTGGAATGCAGCAAATGGCCTGCATTTCGTATTTTTTGTTCTTCATTAAAACAATAAGAACGTAATATTAGAGATTATCTCATTTTTTATCTGTCACCATAAACAGAGTGAGAAAAACAAAGAGGATTTTTAGTCGGCTTTATCTAAATACTGACAAGACAAGTTAGGTCATAATTTTAAGAATATATGAGGGCCTCTAATGAGCAGAGCGAATATAAAATAAAACAAGTAAAAAAGCGTTAAGTTCGGCCGGGCCGAACTTTGGATACCCTCCACCATAAAAATACTGACCATTTTTTGAAATGAAAACATAGGGAAAATACATATAACGATAATTCTTCCAATCGATTGCTGTAAACCAAATAGAAAATTCAGCAATTTCAATGAGGGTTTTCCTAAAATCTCAAAACCCTAAAATTTTGACATATATTATTAACGCATGGTATGGTGAAACATGTGTATAAAATCCTGAAAATATTCCAATTTCGAGGGCAATATTATATATGAGGCATACTTAAGCGGGACCAATATTGACAACATTGTGTAGGAATTAGCAACTACTTGGTGTTTTCATTATATAAGGGGTTAGGCCTAATTAAGGCCGATGCAGCTCAAGTTCCGAGCAAATATTTTAGTTTTGAATTCCAATACCGTCCATCACGCTAAATATTAAATAGGTAGGATGTTTTATATAGGACCTGGTCCTAAATGCGGGTCAATATAGTTAATTCTCAAACCTCACGTTTTAGTTTTTAGGTCAAGATAAAAATGATTACAACATATGGCTAAATCGACTAAATCGTTTTAGAATTCCATACTATGTGAACTGAAAATTTCGTCTGCCGAATAACCCCCCTACTATGGTGGAATACAGCTACATGGGATAACCCCAACACCCGCAAAACATCAGCTAACTATTTTAAAATAAAAAAAGGGGGTTATAAGGGGACTACCCCTAAAAGGGGGTGAATATTAATAATTTTTGGTAGGGAGATTTGTTACCATATACGACTACAAAATACCAAATTTCAGCGAAATCGGTTGAAAAACGCGCTCAAGAACCCCAAAATACCGCAAAATTGGGGGTACCCTTATATGGGGGCTACCAGAAAAAGTGGACCTATATTTATAATTTTTTGTGGAGATATTAAGTACCCAATAAGAACCCTATGTAGCAAATTTCAGCGAATTCGGTTGAAAACCGCGCTCAAGAACCCCAAAATACCGAAAATTTGGGGGTACCCTTATATGGGAGCTATGCCTAAACGTGGACCGATAAAGCCCATCTTCGAACTTGACCTGCCTGCAGACAAAAGACGACTCTATGCAAAATTTTGGCGATCTATCTCCATTCGTTTAGACGCTAGAGTGATTACAACAGACAGACGGACAGACAGACAGACAGACGGACATGGCTATATCGTCATAGAATTTTACGCTGATCAAGAATATATATACTTTATAGGGTCGGAAATGATTATTTCGATGCGTTACAAACGGAAAAACAAAACTAATATACCCTCCATACTATGGTGGAGGGTATAAAAAAGGGGGTTATAAGGGGACTACCCCTAAAAGGGGGTGAATATTAATAATTTTTGGTAGGGAGATTTGTTACCATATACGACTACAAAATACCAAATTTCAGCGAAATCGGTTGAAAAACGCGCTCAAGAACCCCAAAATACCGCAAAATTGGGGGTACCCTTATATGGGGGCTACCAGAAAAAGTGGACCTATATTTATAATTTTTTGTGGAGATATTAAGTACCCAATAAGAACCCTATGTAGCAAATTTCAGCGAATTCGGTTGAAAACCGCGCTCAAGAACCCCAAAATACCGAAAATTTGGGGGTACCCTTATATGGGAGCTATGCCTAAACGTGGACCGATAAAGCCCATCTTCGAACTTGACCTGCCTGCAGACAAAAGACGACTCTATGCAAAATTTTGGCGATCTATCTCCATTCGTTTAGACGCTAGAGTGATTACAACAGACAGACGGACAGACAGACAGACAGACGGACAGACGGACAGACGGACATGGCTATATCGTCATAGAATTTTACGCTGATCAAGAATATATATACTTTATAGGGTCGGAAATGATTATTTCGATGCGTTACAAACGGAAAAACAAAACTAATATACCCTCCATACTATGGTGGAGGGTATAAAAAGGGGGTTATAAGGGGACTACCCCTAAAAGGGGGTGAATATTAATAATTTTTGGTAGGGAGATTTGTTACCATATACGACTACAAAATACCAAATTTCAGCGAAATCGGTTGAAAAACGCGCTCAAGAACCCCAAAATACCGCAAAATTGGGGGTACCCTTATATGGGGGCTACCAGAAAAAGTGGACCTATATTTATAATTTTTTGTGGAGATATTAAGTACCCAATAAGAACCCTATGTAGCAAATTTCAGCGAATTCGGTTGAAAACCGCGCTCAAGAACCCCAAAATACCGAAAATTTGGGGGTACCCTTATATGGGAGCTTTGCCTAAACGTGGACCGATAAAGCCCATCTTCGAACTTGACCTGCCTGCAGACAAAAGACGACTCTATGCAAAATTTTGGCGATCTATCTCCATTCGTTTAGACGCTAGGGGGCTACCAGAAAAAGTGGACCTATATTTATAATTTTTTGTGGAGATATTAAGACGGACAGACGGTAGCAAATTTCAGCGAATTCGGTTGAAAACCGACGGACATTGGGGGTACCCTTATATGGCTATATCGCCATAGAATTTTACCTGATCAAGAATATATATACTTTATAGGGTCGGAAATGATTATTTAGACGCTAGTTATTACAAACGGAAAAACAAACAGACGGACAGACGGACAGACGGACATATATACGTCCTTTTACGCTGATCAAGAATATATACTTTATGGTGGATTATTTCGATGCGTTACAAACGGAAAAACAAAACTAATATACCCTCCATACTATGGTGG